TTTGCAAATGATTTTTTCCAAGAAATATTTAATTTTTCACCAAATGAATTTCACTCTTACCAATGGAATATCTCACATAATTTCACTCTTAGCAATCCACTACTTATTTGTATTAAACAACAAAATTCTTGTTGTGCATAGATCGATTAACAACACTATCCTTCTTTCAGGCAATTTAGGAATAAGAATAAGTTATTTTTGGATCTTATCATTCTAATTCATAATGTGGTTGCGCTGATGGATAATATTGACATTGTCGTTCAAGAACATAGAAAGAAATAGGGCATTGGAGTGTGGTCCAATACAATAAACTTTCGGTGGTAAGAGAGGTGATAAATTTGAAGTGAGAACTAGTCTTCAAAGCCAAGAAGCATGATCCCATAGTGATTTAAGTTTGAAGCCAACTAAGCACCTCTTCGAGTGTCCACAATGTAACAATACTCAAAATAGTTTGTTGAAACATTTGAAACTTAGCACAATTTTCAAAATTTTACCATTTTCAAATTACCAGGAATTGTAGAATTGTTTATTAATTTTTTTTCAAGATTTATCATGCTTCCGTCAATTGGAGAAAGTGTGTATATGAACGGAACCATGTGCACAAGTTTCCTGCTACCAAATTTCCATGTCCTCTTTGATCAGCATAAGAGGTGAATATGATATGGAGTAAGCAATAGCCAACACCATGATAAGAATTAGTGCTATTGTACAAAACAAAAAAAAGGTTATGTCTTATTATAATAATCACATTCCGTAGATGAAGACCAATTGCTTACAAGACAATAGAATGAACAATAAAACAATCATGTATTTGACAAATTTTTAGCCAGTTTCTAACTTTATTTCCCTAAATATGAGACATTACAACTATTGAGAGAGAGAGAGAGAGAGAGCTTACCAACGGTGGAAAACAACATTCCAAAACCATGAATTCATAGATAGTCCATGTACACATTTTTGGAAATCTTAGGTGGCTATTAAAAAGTAATAAGTAAGAATGACAGGAGCCAAAGTGAGGCTGCTTGGATAATGGGAGAGCCATTTTTCCCTTCAAGTTGAATTTGCTTGAAATTGTAAGAGGTTGAGCATGAGTATCCTGAAAAAAATCTCTTGCTACTCCAACACATTCTTGTTGAAAAAAATTCAAATTCCCGTGCATGATAGTAATGATCATTGGACACATCACTTGTGATAGCTAAATATAGTGATGAAACATGGAAGCAAAACTCGTTCTTCCTAGACGATTGCTATGCAAGTGCAAGGGCAAAGGCATTTTTTTAGGCGAAGTCTGCAGATGAAAGAAATGGAAAATGGGAAACATCCACCGTTGAAGAAAAGAATGACTAAAACAAACTCCATCAATTCAATGTACATTATTATCATTGAATCAAAAGAATTTACCGCACAAAACCAACCGGTACACCTTTCCTCAATTCAATATACAAAATTGTCAATGAAGGAAGAATTTGAAGAGACAAATTCAATATGACCATTATGATTGATTCAATGGTAGTATAAGAACCAATAGTTTTTCATATTAACTAACACATTGAATACGGATGGTATACATTAAAATAATTTGGTATAAACTTTAAGAGTACTACTATGTATCCCAAATTTACATCCCAAATGAAGGGGACTATTGAATCAATGGATCCCATTTTAAAAAGTTGATGGGACACATTGATTCAATGGTCTCTCTTCATTTGGGTTACAAATTTGGGATACATAGTATTTCTCAAACTTTAATATCAATGAATTTAAAGCATTATTACCTGAATTTTTAATGCCTAAAATGTAAGCAATTGTAGTAACTATTGGATCAAGGAAAAGGATGAAATGAACTTTATGACTATGTGAGTAAATAAAATTGAAGGTCAAGAGCCTTTACTCCTAGAAATGGAAGAGGTTAAAGGGCATGTTTGATATTATAAAATTAATAAACGGCAAAAAAGGGAAGTAAAAGTTCTTCTCATTAAGTCATTTTTGGAAGTAGTACAGATATATATATAGAGCGTAGCGCAATCATGGAAGCTCTGCACCGTAGTCTCTAATGGGAACTTTTTATGTAAATCGTTTGATCATCACTAAACAAAAATGCTTAAAATTAATTATCAAAACATATCAAATTTAGTTCTTAACTAAATAGGAAAACTCTATAGCATATTAATTGTAGTCTAGTCCCTAAAGTGTCCTCACTTTCTCCTTACCAAAAATATCATACACAGCTTCCTGTCTAAACCTACCTCTACCTCCCTCTCTCTCTCTCTCTCTCTCTATCTCTCTCACACACACACAACACACAAAATACAACTTCTTACCAAGTAATTATAATTCCATATGTTGGATTATGGTCGCCCCAAATGAGAGCGATCAAGGGTGTGCTTGAACCAGTTACTTGGGAATAGTCCTTATAGGATTGAACTGCCATTATTTGGTGAGAGTCTTGCATTCCTTGAATTCTTGCATATAAATAATCACATCTAACTTAACTTCCTCACCCGACACCTCTCTTTCTGTCTTCCTTATCTCTCATGTAACTCTCTCTCTCTCATTTTTGAAAACAAGCTACCTTCCCTTATCTCTAACTCCCCCCAGCACTGCAATACATACCACACTTGAATAACACCCTCTCCCTTCCTCCTGTCTCTACCTTGTGCCTCCAACACACACTAAACCACCCACTGTAAGGAGCCCAAGTATGTCCCTCTGGATCCTCTCTCTGTCTCTCTAAAATTGTGCATGTATTTGTGTTCATGTGTGTGTGTCTGTTCATGTGTGTGCCTATGTTTGTGTTCATGTGTGTGTGTGTGTGTATGTGTTCATGCATATGCCAGTGTGTTCACGCTTGTCTGTGCCTGTGTGTTTATGTTAGCATTGTGTGTATGCCATTGTGTGTTTTGGATTTTTTTTTGTTGTGTTCATGTGTTTTATTTGTCCGTTGCTTGTATTGACTACTTTGAACTGATTTAGATTCTATATTTTCTTGAGCAGTTGGAAATCAGTTTGTCCAATAAAATATCTTTTTCATTCATGTATATTTAGTATCCTAAATTTATATTCATTTACAAATTTTTCCCCTTCCTCATGTAAGATAGTTTGGTGGTTCTTGATCCTTAATTTATAGACATTTTACATGGTACTATTGTAGCAAAAGTAGAAGTTGTTATTTTGGGTTGAAACGCATTTAGTCTTTTTTTTGTTTTAACACTTGGGTTTCGATTTGATGATTTTGTTCTTTGTAATGCTAGGTTTGATTTATTTATGTTGGTTGGAGGTGCTTCTAGGTGAAAGAGGTGTTCGATGGTGTTTGGTTACACATTTCCTCAATCACATCCATTTCATAGCAACAGCGTCGTTGCACACAGTTTGTTTGATAAAATGTCAAACAAAAATTGGTATTGGAATTAATGAATAATGTGCACACTTTTGGTACTTGAATTGGTTTAGCTTTTGTGTACTCTAATTAACCCTTTTGTTGCATGAACTCATAGAGATCATCAATTCGTACAGTACTTTGTCATTATATTTTTCTTGGGCAGTTTAACTATGGTTACAACCCCTATTGGTAGTTATTTAACTTTCATGGATTAATCTATTAGATGAAATGGGGCATGAATCTTAACCCAATTACATATCTATGGTAGCGAGGTGACACGTCAGCGACCTGCACCCCTCATTCGCTTAATACCTAATGATCCTCTCGCTCAAAAAAACTAAAGGTATGGCCTTCTCTATTGCTTATTCTGTTTTAATAATTTTCATTTTGTAAAAACATTTTTTTATTTCTTTGATTTGGTTTTGGAAGATAATGAGATATGTTATTGAGAACGAGGGGTTTGAAACGTAGCAGTTTGAGTTGGTTGTGAAAGACAATGATAGGCGATGAACAGTGAGATTTTTTATGTTTCGTTTATTTTCTATTTATTTAGCCTACCCTAATTCCCCATCTCGGCTCCGTATTGTATTTTCTTTTCATCTAATGAATGCATTATTTTTTTTTTCCATCGTCTAGGTGTCTCCTAGGAAATTGAACCAGTTATGGGCATGGAGCCTTTGGCATACACAAGCTCTTATTGCAAACTAATATAGTGGGTATGCACCATTATTGATAGTTAAGAATAATTTTGTTAGTACTAAGTATTTACTTATGAGTATGCACAAGTAAATCCTATGTTTGTTATTGTGCAGGGTAGTTGTAGGGATTCACATAATGTAGTTTATGCACAACATCCGACCCTGAAGTCTGGTGCACAATGTCACACGACAGATAATTAATTTTTGCTTTCAAAGAGTTGCACATAGTGGATTACATTTGAATGTATTATACTATTGGTATTGCTAGGTGAATGGGTGCTTATGGATGGGCTAATTTTTTTAATTGTACAAGTTAAAATATTTATGCATATAATTAGATTTTTCTACATAATTTTTGTTGTAGAATAGGTGGTCGGTTCAAATATATTTGCTATTTCATATATTATTTTTGTAGCGGTCTTCTAATTTGTATGTCTTTTAATTTTGACTTTTCTTTTTTTTACGTAATGCATTCAGACACGAGTAATTACTAGTGTTTCATATTATTGTCCGTATGCATAACCCATGTTGTCTTTTTTCACATCTCCCTTCTTGATTAACCAAAAAAAAAAAAAAGAAAGAAAACAGCTCCTTAATTAGCTTGTTAACTCCCCTCTTACTTTCTCCCCCACAACTCATATTCCTCTTCCTTACAAAACAACCAACCTCGTCTTTCCCCTTCCCCCAAGGTCGTATAGAGCGGCGAGCCTCTCTCTCTCTCTCTCTTGTTAGTACCATTCCCAACCCCACAAATTCCAATTCTTCAAAGTAAATGAACAGCACAATTGAGTTCACTGATGCCACATATGGCATGGTTGGGCAAAGCCGAGGTAGTTTCGGCTAGGCATCTGCATTTCACTTGGCCTCCTCAGAATAGTAGTAATCATCACATATGCTTCCTACATCTGCACACGATTGCGCAGCGCCTCCCACAGACACCACCCTTCCACCCACCGAACCACCATCGACACCACCAGTACCACTGACAACGACTCGAGCACAACTCAACGAGGACTCGCCGAAGCCACCATCCTCACCTACCCCAAATTCCTCTACTCCGAGGCCAAGCTCCATAAAGGCGGCGCCACCGCCTCAGGCTGCTTCGTATGCTTGGCCGACTATAAGGACACTAACATGCTTCGCATGTTGCCTAATTGTGGCCACCTCTTCCACCAAACGTGCATCGACCCGTGGTTAAGGCTTCATTCAACGTGCCCAATCTGTCGAAACTCGCCGGTGCCGACTCCCTTAAGACATTGCCCAATACATAGCAAACAAGATAAAACTGCTTGAATTAATTAGCTTGAAAAGGGTAATGTCTTCAACTTGCAAATCCAATCTTTCTTTTTTTTCTGTATAGCCCTCAAAGTTGTGTATACCTTCAAGTGCTTATTGGATTGTTTGCTATGTATTGGGCATATTTTGATATGAAAGAAGTTTTGTTATGCCTATGTATATATCTTTTTCAACTTGATGAATGATGCATCTAGAAGACAGGTAAGGACAATCACTATCTTTAAGTCTGAAAATTTATCTTGTTATGGCATTATTTACTGTTAATACTCTCTAACTAAATAGGCTTGTCATCTAGACTTGTTCTAAATTCTAAAAGCAGCCCCTTAACTGAAAATTGAATATGGGATAAAACTACTGTATTGATGCGTATCATACCAAAAATTACAATTGAATTTGGACAAGTTACAACCCATTCAAGGCAAATTTAAGAGTTACAAAAAAAAAAAAAATAGATCAGTCATAGACCAATAGGCTCACGTTACGACTAAAAAAAATTTGGAACAAATCTAACATGTAATATTCAATCTCAGACAACCTATAACATAGTTGCAATGACACATTTATTTTATTCCGTCGGTGAGGATCAATCAGGGGTGATTTTTGGACACTCTTCTTTGCCTCAGCTCTTAAAAAAAATAAAAATTATACCTTTATTTTGTAGTAATCTATATAATAAATCAGCTCCTACTTTGAATTTTGTCACAATCATATTTTCCCCTCAAAACTATCACCAATCACTTATTTCACTTGTCATCCTTCTGGCAAACTCAAACGTTAAGTTAAATCACTCATTTTTATCACATATTTATATATTTCATTCCTAAAAACATCACATCACTTATTTCTATCATATATTTAATCATTTAATATTTGATTAATTTATAGTTAATATAATTTTATTTCAAGCATTATTTATATACAATAATATACACATGTTGAAAAATTTTAATATAGTGAGATCGATTTTTTTGATACTTGAATTTTACATTTTATTGTGCCTTCAGACACGGGTTATGACTAGTCATTCATATTATACCAAATAATTTTTTTTTTGGTTTCGTAATCTATGTACCTACATCGCACACCTTCCGTATTAATCAAGAAAAGGTGGTGCCCACAAAACAAAAGTGTATCATAGCCAGTTATAAACTGTATTGAGCTGGCACAACAAATTAGTCAATGGTGTTTGATTGAGGCTAGATGCATGGTAATGGAGGTCGAGAAAGCAAAATTTGAAGCAATCTTTTTCATGTGTTTCCAAAGCAGTCCAACTGGGATTGAACGCCCAACCTGCAAAAAAATAAATCCCAGCAAGCAAAATAATTATATCACTCGCTTTAAAAGTATGTAGATTCAGACACCCAATTTGGAGCTTTTTTATGATTACCTAATAGCTTCATTATCAAACTCTTAACCCTTGATTGGCATTTACTTATTGGATTGCAGTTTATAGTAAAAAAAGGTAGGTGGGTAATGATTTATATATGTGGGACCTTGTTGTCATGTAGCAAAACAACTAGCTGCCATATAGGGATGCCTATACAAGTGGAAATATTTTAAACATGGGTCCAATGAGAGAACATTGTTTGGGAGGAAAGAATGGTTTCCCCTAGCCACCAGTATTGACTTCCAAGTTTTCATGCAATTATCATATTTCTTTCAGATATATATATATATTTGTACTATTTCATTCTATCGTAAATCACCTATCATGTGTTAGTAAGAGACTCACTTATATACAAATGTAAAATTCAAGATAGATTTACCCTCAATGACTAGTGCATAACTGAAAGATATTTGAGTAGAATGATGGACAGTGGAAAGTTTCATGCTTAATAATACTATATTGTTTAAAAAATTGGTTTTAATAACATTAGTTATCATCTTTCTTAGGGATTTTAATTTTCAAATCTGATGAGCACAAATTTAACTGGGCTAGGCCAATGAAAACAATCCAAGAAAGGTCGAAGGAAAGTCCAACTCTAAACTGGATGGACCCATTGGAAAAGAAGACATCAAGAAGTCAACAACCAAAGCCCCAAGCCAAGAGATTTAGCAATTGGGCGTCGCCCATGGCAGCCTTGGGCGCCTCCTAGGTTGGCCCCTTGGGTGCCGCCCATGGCAACCCCTTGGGCGTCGCCTAGGCTAGCCCCTTGAGTGCCGCCTGGGCTGGTCCCTTGGGCGCCGCCCTCTTCGCTCCTCTTCACTTTGGAACTCTAGGTCCAGGTCAAGCTCAATCCAACTAATGTTCTCCTCCGGATGAATAGGAGCATGAGGGAAGATAATATGGAGATTGACATAGAAGATCTCCTACCATAACAATACTTGCCAAAGCTATGGAATTCTTTTCCCTCACGTTACCGCCTCCACTATCTTACCCTAGCTATATAATATAAGCCCTCTCAACATTGAGGGCATGCCTCCAACGCCTCCAAGGCCTCCGAATCTTACACTCATTGTTTTCTCTCTGTCTCTCTAAAAGCACTGTATTTCTCCGGAGTACTATCATTCATCAACATCAATAAAGAACACAGGCCGCCGCTGCCATTTCCGAGAGTGGACGTAGATTACCTGGACCGAACCACTATAAATCTTTGTGTTTGTTGCTTATTTACTGTTTTTATCCATTGATTGTCCTTAATTGCTCATTAATTGCTCATTAATCACACCCTTACACATACTTGACTGTTGATCTTGCATGAAGACAGTTTTGTGCATCATCAGTTTGACGCCGTCTGTGGGAACCGACAAAGTTTCTACTACCTTTTAACCTTTTTGCAATCCATGGCAATCACGACCCGAGCAAGGTCTCATCAACTGGGAGACAACCCTGCGCACCAGGAAGAGGCTCCACCTCCCCACGCATCTTCAGAACCCTCTGCCATGGTGCCTCCCACCGTTGGACAACAGCAGCAGCTTCTACATACTATGCAACTGTTGGTGAAACAAAATCAGAAGATGATCCAGTTAATGCTCGACCAAGGGGGCATCACCCATCATCCCGTAGGAGGAGTCCCACTCCCTCCAACGGGAGAGGAGCCGCTACCTGTCTCTTCTGGGCGCCAGGTCCCTCGCCAGAATGTTTCAGGGCAACGCTAGAGAACCCCTCGTCAAGCGGTCCCTCCTCAACGCGCAGGGAGCGCATGTGTTACTTTTCGCACGTGCCTACGTAGGAGGACGAAGGAGAAAGTCAATACGGAGACCATAAAAGCCAGAACCATCACCCGATCGAAGATGTCCCCAACCGGTGGAATGAGAAGATCAGGGAAGTGCAGGACTAGCTTGGTAATGCCCTCAACGCCATCAAGGCACAGGCACCTAAAATCGTGGACTATTTGGTGAGGCGCACTGATACTCCTTTTATTACTGACATTGTTAATTACTCGTTGCCGTCGAAGTTCAAGATGCCCACCATCGAGATCTTCGACGGCACCAAAGACCCCCTTGACCATCTGGATACCTACAAGTCCCTCATGCAACTCCACAATGTGCCTGAGGAGATCATGTGTAGGGATTTTCCTACCACCTTAAAAGGGTCTACCTGCCAGTGGTTCTCCAAGCTCAGACCTTCCTCCATTCGCTCCTTCACAGAACTAAGTAGGTCATTCGTCTCCCACTTCATTGGGGGACGTCGCCATCAAAAATCAGTGACCCACCTGCTCACCATCAAGCAGGATAGGGAAGAAAGCCTTCGTGACTACCTTGCCCGCTTCAATGAGGAGGTGCTCCAGATTGATGAGCCAAATGATAAGGTGGCTCTGGCTGCCTTTATTGCCGGTCTTCGCACCTCCAGCTTCATGTTCTCAATCCTCAAGAAGCTGCCCGAACTCCTGTCTAGGGCACAAAAGTATATGAATGTCGAGGATGTCACCAAGGCCAGTCGGGATGAGTCCTCTCGAGAAGGGGAGAAAAGAAAAGCCAACCGAGAAGATAAAAGGAGACCGAGAATAAGAGGAAGAAAACTGAGAGAGTCTCTGTAAAAGACCGCCTCGGACCACTACCCTTGAGGGACCAACAACCATTCACTCCACTCAATGCCTCAGTGGAGCACATCCTACTCCAGATACAGGATGACTCCGTCATCTGTTGGCCAGGGAAGATGAGGTCTGACCCCAAACGCAGAAATCCCAGTAAGTATTGTCGCTTCCACCGTGACCATGGACATGACACAGATGACTGTTTTCAGTTGAAGAAGCAGATTGAGGAACTTATCCAGCGGGGTCACCTCAGAGAGTATGTGGCTGGTCGAGGACCAGCTCCATCGCACGAAGAATGGGAACGCCAGCAGCCCCTTGGTGAGATTCATACCATTGTCGAAGGATTAGGAAGAGGATGTGACTCCAACTCCGCCAGGAAGGCGCACGCCCGTAGAGCCAGACAGGCGGAGTCTCATGACTCCCGCCCAATGAAGACCCCACGACACGGGGAGGAGAAGGTCATTACTTTCTCAGACAGAGACCTTGTAGGGGTCTAGGTCCCTCATGATGACCCTTTAGTTTTGACCTTGATGATGGCCAACTACCAGGTGAGGAGGATCCTAGTCGACAGCGGCAGCTCAGCCGACATCCTCTTTGCCACAGCCTATGACAACCTTCACCTCGGCAGAGAGAGACTACAACGGGTCAGGACTCCCTTGGTTGGCTTCTCAGGAGAGAGAGTCCAGCCATTGGGATCCATCACCCTGCCTGTCACAGCAGGAACTGCACCCAGGAATTCTACTAGCATGGTAAATTTTATCATACTCGACTGTCCCTCTGCTTATAATGTGATTATTAGACGCCCTGCCCTCAATGCCTTAAGGGCAGTACCCTCTACTTACCACCTTCTCCTCCGCTTCCCAACCTCTAATGGGATTGGGAAAATAAGAGAAGATCAGGTCTCAGCCAGAGAGTGCTACGTGAC